ATTGTTATTATTAATTATCATCATTACTGATTTATTATTATTATTATTATCATTATCATTATTATTAATAAGTAATAATAATTGTTATTGTCATGTAATAATAATTATTATTGTTATCCTATATACGTTATTATCATTATTATTACTATAAATTATAGTTATTATTAGATTTTAGAAAAAGCTATATTTCTTCTTCATAAAAATTTAGATGACATTAACGGTAAGATAAGTATTGAAAGCAAATATATTTAAGGAGATGAAGATTGAAAAGGTTAGATAGATAAGTAAAAAGATAAGAGAACAATTTGTCATTTGGATGAGTCATCAATGATGGATCATACAATGATAGAGAAAATGAAAGAGACAGAAATGGGAAGGGAAAAATAAAAGACTGGAGTGAATTGATTCGAAGAATTGAATATAATTGATGATAAGTGTTGATACGGCGATATAATTTATGTACTCCGCCAATTAACCTGTCATAGTTACAAATCTTAACAAGATTATGCCCAAATTTTTTATCATTCATATTACGATGACCTTCCCTTAATTTATCTCTCTCTCTCTCTCTCTCTCTCTCTCTCTCTCTCTCTCTTAAATATTTTCCTCCACTAATTATGCTCATATAATATCATAAAGATTTCTCCTATCATAAATTATAAGATATTATGATTATTGAACAAAAGAAAATTTATAATAATGATTAATAAATAAACGATATATTATTATTGAACATTATTCCTTTTCCTATTTTAATTTGATATTAAATTCAAGTACATATCATTTAAAAAGGAAATGATAAATGAAAAAAAATTTGGTAAAAAAAAGACTTGAAATTCAAAAATTTCCAACAATCGTTATCAATAAATGATAATTCATTAAAAAATTTATTTGCATTCTAGTATGAAATGAATGATATCAAAAGGAAAGTAAAATATAAATTTCAAAAAATTCCTGCTTATACAAAAATGACAATAAATATGTATCGATTAAGCAAAAATAAGCAACTCAAATCGATAATTAATTAATATAAAATCTATGCATTGAATCAAAACGAAGCATTTCGATGATGTTTGTTGTACTTTCTTCCTCTGTCAATCCTGCATAAATAATAATTGATATCAAGTAAAAATCAATTTTTCAATTATGTACGGTAATGATCATTATTGAGCATTGATTAAATTATGTGCAAACAATGATGATGCAATATTAAATATTATATTAATTTATCTATTATGAATAAACAACAATCATCGTTAGGTAATATTGTCTTGAAAGTAGAAAATTTAAAATTTTTACATTTTATTACATTTTATTTTAACGTTTTACAATATGCATTTTCCTCAATAATTTTAATTAATCTTTAATTTATCATATCTTAGAAAATAGCATTGGCATTAGAAAAACAATAAAACTTAAATAACTTCAATGTATCATACATATACTTCTTACAGTATATTTATATTAACAAACGTATGCATTACTAATACATTGAATAAATCCCGTAAACTACTTATATCTATGAAATGAATTTAAAAAAAACCATGATAGATTTAATGAATCACTTTGTTGATAACTTTTATCATAATTATTGGATATGATACGGTAAATATTAACAAATGTTAACGTATTGATGAGATTATTTAGATAACAGAACAGTGATAGATGATAAATTAATAACAATAAATGATAATAGTAGTAACTTAATATAAATTAAATAAAATAATGCTTATTTTATATATTAACAACCATTACAAAAAATTCGAATATTTTTCTATTGCACTTTTAATTTCAAATTATATAGCATATATTAAGTTAAAATTTTAGCAGAAAAAAAGAAGATAAAAGATGTACATGTGAAATATATTTCAAATTTAAAATTAGATATTGAAAATGTAAAATGAAATCGAATTATTAAATTTATCATTTTATTATGTTAGATGGCCTAAATATTGAAGAAAAATTAGGTTAAATCTTTCAAAAGGGCAAAATTTGATGTTACGACAAATTGTTGATCGCTTAATACGATATTTCCGATTCATATGATTAGAATTTTTATATTTATTCAGAAATTTTCAACTAAAAATTATATTTTATTCAAGGCTATCGCTGATGCAATGTAAAACATTTCATTTTTCTTTTCTGAGAAGCGAATGAAATAAAAATTTGAAAATAAAGGAAAAGGAAATTATAATAAAACACTTGGTTAATTTTTACTCAAAAATTATCCTTGTTTTTGATTTAAAATCACTTGAAAAGTTTAAATTGAAAGAAAATTTCGGTCATACAATATTATCGCATTTTTTTACTTCTTAATAAAATTAATTGCTATGATGGTATGTTTCTTGCTGCTATCTTGATACAGTCCAACTGTATGAAAAGTATGCTTTGATATATATTTCGATATGTATTTCCTAAATACTTTTGAACCGTTCTAACTTAAATATGTTAATCGTTTAAAACTTTGATAAGATTTAAATCAATTACGACAACAAAACATTTTAATCCCAATTACATTTACTTTATACTATTACATTAAACTGATTTAACTCTGCTTAATCGTTTAGAAATTAACTCTGCATAAATTTGTTCATGCTCCAAATTTCGAGAAAAAATATGAAATTTCAACATTTTGCATTTTCTGCAACGTTGATGACTTATTAAACTAATTAAACCTGTAACTAATTTCAAGAATTAAGTTGTAATCTTTTTTTGGGTTGATTGAAAATACCAATCAATTATCGTGAATTGATCAGCTCATTATTTTTTTGTCGAATTTAATTAATATAGGAAAAGAAACTTTTATCCTTAATCAATAAATGTTAGAATACATAATCAAACGTTAGAAATCAGACAAAACGACAATCAAAAATATATCGGGGGCTTTGCAATTAAATATGATCCAGAAAAAACAAGAAATAATCACTTTAACTAGACTCCATTCCGGTAAGTAGAAACAGTTCTTATCTGATATGGTAATGATATTTTGCGCATTCGATCAAAAGTCTTCGAGATCGCTTCCAATAATTGGAGCTTATAATGACAGCATAGTTGAAAATGTTTACATTCATTTAGTTATAATCAGCCGATCATTCTGTTTTCAACCAAACACCTGAAGACAAATACATCGTCGTCAATGTACATGCAAATTTATCAGTTTTTAAAAACTGAGAATTGCAAAATCTGGAAATCGCAAATTAAATTAAGCCGACAATACCAAAATTTCTAAATCTAAGTCTTGCAACTTTTTTCTTGACCAGGAAAATATATCGATTATGACTATAGCATGAGACTGGCATTAACTATTTATTCTTGATCTGAGATAAAGCAATATATCTAATATTGCACGAATTTTATGTTGAAAATGAAATTAAAATTTTTAGTTTTAGTAATTCGCGGATGAATTCAGATAGTGAAATAGTTCACAAGATAATTCGATATAAAAAATTCCAGAAAATTTCGAAAGCAATCAATAATTCGGCTTCCCATGTCATGCATACAACTCTATTCCTATTAATAGATTATTAAATTACGTATGCTACATGCAAAAAATTAACTACAATAATTGAAAATGTTTGAAATACAATTTCTAATCTAATCTGCTAATTTTTGTTTTTGATATCAAATGAATAATTTTGCATTCTCTAACTTTTACTTAAGAAATTAAATATCAGTTTTCACATCTGTTTTATTTATAAGCCTACTCGAGCGTAAACTCCTCGCATTCCTGCACAAACTTGCAAATAACGTAAAGCACGGGATGATGATCCGCAAATTTCAACAAGCGAGTCTTCCAACGCTTGAAGTTTGTGGCATACAAACTTCGGTCATACGATGTGTGTAGTAGTCCCTTGAACTTTGAATTAAGGGATTGTCGTGCTGATGATGGGGAGGTGAAGTGGAATATTTCGGATTCTGGATTACACCCGGGATTCTGATCTTTACTTCAATCTCTGTCTGGATATTTGCAATTTAAAAGGTTTCCTGGAATTAAGCACGAAAACTTCAATTTATTTATTGATATTTTTTTATCGCCGAACGATATTTTGTGAAACATTTTAAATTGTCATAATTTTTGTGGAGTGTTACAAATATGTTCAAGTTTGAAAGAAAAAAAAATGTATTTTTGAGAAGCTGCAATTAATACAGTGCGTCAGAGATGTGAAAATTCCCACAATGTTGATATGACGCACCACTTATTCTAACCCGAAAAAAATAAAAGAGAAAGGATTGGCTCCCGTTACTGCACATCTTGAAAAAATTGAAATTTTCATGAGAGATTAGAATATGTTTAAAGGGGAATTAATAATGGATTAGATTTCGAAATGGTAAGAGGTTTCAGAGCAAACAGAGCATTGTGGTTTCAGAAGTATTCAGCAATTGATAAGATTAAATCTATTTAATGGATTAAAAATCTGTGCGAATATGAAATATTATGGCCACAGATACTTAATAGAAAACATTCTCCTGATTTGATGAATAGCTAGTGATTTAATGAATCGAATATTGATTATTGAGATAATATGTGATGGTATGTGAGGTTGAGAACGGTAAGAAAAGAATTATCATTTCTAAAGTAGTTCTTCAAATATTAGAGATTTCTATAGCAGCAAGAAAAGATTTCCATTCATTGCTTCTTCTATTCCAGAAAATAAGGTGCATTGAGTCGATAGGAGATATTGTTGCCATAGTATTTTACAGTTCCGCTGTTTTGGAGTTCTGATGCGGATTCCCCAACGTGCGATTTATTTATTGTTTGTTGTTTTCTATTAGGGTCAGGAATTCCGGACGAATTATTTGATATATTAAACATTCGGGAAACTTTTTGATGCCTCATTTCTTCTTATGCGTTTGTCGTATTGCATACTACTTGTGCCATTATTGAGCTTAGCTATTTTTTGTTAATATTTCCATTTCATCTTCGTTCTATCGATTCTGTAAATCTGATCAAAATTGTGATTTTTTCAAGAATTGACTAATTTGTTTCCTTTTTTTTCAGAATGGGCCGAAAGTGTCCAAATTGTGGCAGTTCGGAAATTGACGATGATTCAGCTCGTGGTGATTCTACATGTATGGGTTGTGGTACTGTATTGGAAGAATCAACTATTGTTTCGGATGTGGCATTTCAGGAAAATGCCGGTGGTGGTCATTCCTTAGTGGGTAAGTTATTAGTCCTCGGAGGATATTTGCGATGTTTTCGGTCTAATTTTGATAATTTTGAAGGATAAGGACAAATAATTTCAATAAATATAACAAGAAATATAAAGGCTAGCCATAATAGGAATTCATTTTCAAATATGAATATGATGTATATTTAAGTTGTTGTGATGCCTTATGTAATTTTCAGGTCAATTTATTTCAAAAGAACGCGGTCAGCCAACCAACCTTTCCGGTGTACCCGGTTTATCACATCAGGAGTCACGAGAAATCACTTATTACAAGGGAAGAAAACTGATTGAAGAGGTAACAAATTATTACTTATTAAAAATTAAATTGATTGCATTTAGCTCGAGTAATTAACATTTTATTAACAATAATTGATATCATATCCTATTTATTGTGTCAGTATTTTCAGGTACCTTATAATGTTTTCATAATATTTTCTATATGTCACATATTTCTTGTAGGTTGATGTTTGGAGAAATATGAGAAAAAGAAATCAGTTTTATCAATACTAGAATCTTTTGAATTTTTTATGGGCTTTATATTTGGTCTCTATTTACAGATAGCAAGTCAGTTGCGGATTAATCAACATTGTGTTAATACAGCATTTAATTTTTTTAAAATGTGCGTTTCACGTAATTTCACACGTGGGCGTGTGAGATCACACGTCGTAGCAGCATGTTTATATATGACTTGTCGGTTGGAGAATACCGCACATTTGTTGCTGGATTTCAGCGATATCACTCAGGTATCTTTCGTAGAATTTGCGTTACCAACGTCCTTAGGGTGTCATTACAAAAGTTCATCTACATATGAGAACTTTCCTTTATTACATGATTTTTTATGATATTATTTTCGAAGTAATCAGTCCTTCGTTTCTGCACTTCTCGATTTCCAGATGTAATGATATACTAAAATATACAAAAAAAATGTTTATGCTTTGTTCAGGTTCTGTTGTTTTATTTGGCAGCGTGAACTACTTAACGAATACACTGAAATTTTGCAGGTTAATGTGTTCGATTTGGGCCGAACCCTGAATTTTCTAACCCGTTCTTTGAAAATTAATCTTCCAACTACTGATCCTTGCATGTATATATTACGTTTTGCAGTTTCACTCGATTTTGGTGCCAAACAAAAAGAGGTCAGTGTGTATTTTTGCAGCATTTTTTCTTTTTAGATTTTGTTGAATTCTTTCTGCAAAACGGAATGTTAGCAACTAATTCATTTGATGGCGAGTGGTGTGTGGTTCGTGGTTGTTAAGCCTCATCTAACATTCCAGTATAAGTTATACTTCTTACTTTCAACAAATAGAAGTTGGAGGTGTCAAGATGACCAGAGCGAGGGAAGAAAATGATATTCTTTGCAAGGAAGTAGTTAAAATAGCATCATCAAGAATTTAGTTCAAGTTTGATATTTTATGCAGTTAAACATATTTCCTTGACCTATGGGATGTCTTGATATTTTCTTGACGTATGGGATGTCTTAATTTTGGGTATTTGCTTAGGGACTTAACATGGTGCGGAACCCCTTTTGCACTCCGAATCTCCAGATTTTATCATGATTGTTTCCTACTTTTTATTATGATTGCTTCTGCAGGTGGTATCTTTAGCAACTCGACTGGTACAACGAATGAAACGTGATTGGATAGCAACAGGAAGACGACCAACTGGTCTTTGTGGTGCAGCGTTATTGCTTGCAGCCCGATGCTTTAATTTTAATCGAACGGTTGCTGACGTTGTACGTGTTGTGCATATTAGCGAAGCCGTCGTTAAGAAACGTCTTGATGAGTTTGGGCAGACTCCATCAAGCACGTTAACAATTGATGAATTTACATCAGTCGATTTGGTAAGCCTTGAACTTTTACTGATAAAGTGTTTAATATATCTTCCTCTCCAGGACCGTGGTTTTAAGTAGTTATGATTGACTTCATTAAATTTTTAGATAATTTGCAACTTTTTTTTCAAAAAGAATTCCCTTCTTTTTTCAGGAGCACTGCGAAGATCCACCAGCATTTCGCGAGTCGCGTCGTAAAGCACGTGAGATGCAACTGCAGAAAGAGGAGGAAGCACTGAGGAAGATAGAACTTGAGGTTAATGGGTATATCTGAAAATTCCAAAAAAATGAATCCTACAATTTTTACTGCCGATTATTATTTTGACACTCATGCTGCAAGACAAATTATGAAATTGTTCTGCAATCCTAGGAAGGTCATTTCATGTTCTGAGTATAGATATAATATCAATCAAAAAAACTTGCAATTTGAAGAAGTCTGTCAGTTTTTAAAAATTTACTATTACAGTTTTTTAATTTCTGAATGCTAAATAGTTTGCAGATGCCACCAATGGAGGTAGAAGTTGAAAGAGCTCTTGAGAAACGGCGGAAGGAGCGCTTTAAACGAACACAGTACGCACGAATGATGAGTGGTTCGTTAGGATCTGAATCGGATGAACTTACTCCAGCGGATGCTGTAGTACGAAATGAAATCGTTGACTTAGTATTTTCTGCTGCAATAAGTGCCACTCCACTGTAAGTATACTTCTACTGCACTATCTAGATTTTTTCCTGATTAGACATAATCATCATTAATTGAGTATTGTTACAGATCCGATGTTGGCATGTCATCCACTTATGCACCTTCATTGGTTAGCCTTGGAATAACGCCAATAAAAAGTGAAGTAGAACCAACTGCTGAAACCAAAAGTGAAAAACTCAATGGTAATGGGGAACTCGATTTGGAGGGTAAAGTTTTATTTTTTTTCTACACATGAAGTTTTAGTAATCAATTTGGCGATCAACGCGGTGAGCTGTGATAACTATGGCGACAATACAATTAGTATCAGTTGGAAAATAATTTAAATATTACAAATAGAATGATTTCACCGTGACCAACGTGATGTTTTGTAGAGTTAGTAGTTCTGATATGAACAAAGGTAATATTATATCCTTGTCTTCCAAGGATATTAGTTTTATTCATATTTTAAATTTTCTGAATTTTCTCTGGAGTTGTTGCAGGAATTGATGATAACGAAATCGATACGTACATATTAACCAAAGAAGAAGTGGATTTGAAAACTCGTTTTTGGATGAAATTAAACGGAGAACATTTGAAAGAAATGGAGCGACGGTGAAATTTATTCCATTCGTAGTTATTCTGCTAGCTTAGAAATAATGGGACAATGCTACCTTGATAAAGAAACAGGTTGAAAGAAAATTATTGAAAAAGAATATCGAGTGTTCAAAACTGTGATCACCACATGTCTGAAGTGTTTTGAGTTGTCTCTGTACGGCGTAACATCACGCAATCTAGCTAAAATATATACGCATTTCTTTTTTAGACGTCGTGAAAAAGAGGAAGAAGAACGTGAAAAAGATAATTCAGCCAAAAAGCGACGTCGAACGAATGGTATCCGTAAAAAGGAGCCCATCGTTGCTGCAACTGCGCAGGAAGCAATGGAAAAAGTTATACATGTAAGTTTCCCTAGACAGAATTGCTTTTATTGTCCTAGAAAAGTTGGAATACTAGGCGAGATTAGAGCATCAAGAAAAAGGTCATGAACAAAATCATTCCAAATAATTCATTTAAAGATGAGTGATGATTTTCAAAGACTTTTCGTTTTTAACACTGAATTTTTTGCAAACTTCACAGGAAAAGAAACTCTCAAACAAAATAAACTACGATATTCTAAAAGAAATCGAAGATGCAGATGAAACTGTCGTAAAACCTGAAGTGGACTGCAATACAAGTGGTCCAAAAGAAGAAACCAGTGAAACTAGCGATCGCATGGTCCTTTTTTGTTTTAACCTTTCCGTATTGCATCTTATTATCTCAGAGGAGGACAGATCGAACTAAGTTAGAGGTAATTTATGAAGATGGAAACTATGTAATCGTCTGTAGTATAGATTGAAATAATAAAAGTAGTAAAAGTAACAAGATTACGAGAATGTTTATCTCCTTTGATTTATTTCAATCCAAATTTCCTTTTATGAAATTTTGATTTCATATGTTTCAGTTGTTTAAAGACAATAGAAATCTCACGCTGACGACAGGAAATATTTCGAAATCTCGGAAACGTTTCCGGCCGAATGTCAACCTCGCAACGAAAAAAGCAGTTGAACAAACGATTTCAGTAATAGCCTCAGATGCTGCCGAAAAAAGTGCGAATCAAGAGGAAAAAAGTTAGACTAACCAAACTTGTCTTGTCATGTCATTTTTTATGTCTTGTCATTTTTCTAATCCAACAATTTTATTTTCTGGAAAGAAATTCGGATTCTAAATGAAAGCACTTTTGTGCTAGGAACCTCAATTGATTTGAATTGTGTGCTAGGAACTTCAATTGATTTGAACTTTGTACTAGGAACCTCAATTGATTTTAATATAGCACTGAAAATTGATTTTAGTAAGAAAAAAAGGAAGATTGTTAGGATTTGGGCCACAGGTCAAACTTGCAAAGCCTCTGCAGAAAAGTATACCTCATTTTTCATTTTATAACACATCCTTTTCCAGAAACTGTGAAGGACTTATATATGCCGGATGAGAAAGGCACTTTACTTGATGGTGGAGCGAAGACGAACAGAAGGTGATTAAAACTTATTTCAAACAAAATACAAATCCATCCACTCTTTTCCATAGGATAACGATGTTTCTCTATCTAATATTGGGATATTTATTTTCATTACAGGAAATGTATCGCAGCTCGATATCGAGCATCAAGTAGTCTCCGAAGTGGTACTGCGATAACAGAAGCTGGCATATCCTCTACTGCTATGGAGCATTGCAGTCTATCTGTTTCACGACTTAAAACAGGTGGACTAGATTCTTTCCAAGCCGGAACCTCCGATTCCACTGCGAAGTTCTTGGGAAGGGTCGATCGCCTTATAAAGAAAAGATCTGCAAAATTAACTATTGGAGCAAGTTCCGAATCAGTTATTATTAACTCTAAAAATGCAACTGTAACAGAATCACCATCCGAACAGCTACGCGTGATTAAAACAAGAAACACAAAACCAAATTTGAAGTCTATTCAAAAATCTGATAAGTCTACAGATCAGGATGGTTATAAATCGTCTTTATTCGAGGCTCCAGAAGATAATACCAGGGATGAGAGTAGAGAGCAGGGGGAAGAAGACACAGAAGCCTCTTCAATATCGGAAAGTTCAAGAATGGAAACTGCAAGCGCAAATGGTGTTAGTAGAGAGTCATTGACGCGAAGCACTAGTGAAATCCACTCTGCAAAAATGAAAAAGATGGAAGCCGTTACGATTGGGAAAACGAGAAATCGGTATCGGCGAATGAAACCCAATTTACTGAAACGAGTTGAAACAAAAGCAAGCGAGGTTAGAGTTTAAATTATTAATCGAAATTGACAAAAAATACTGGTAGGCACCCGTGAACCTTGATTTCATAATTTTTTTCTCCAATTGTAATGTTGGAACTGTCTGATGTTAGCTCAGGTGATAAAGCTCATCTTCCCTCCCGCCTTACTGGATGCTTTCATGTATAACAATACTTTTTAGCCGTTTATACTTTCCTTTTATTCTTTTAAAAAAACCTCGTATTCCAGAAGTCCTGACGAGTTGCTTTTGAAGGATGAACAACACAGTCTTCATTTGAGAGCTTATCTTAGGTATGTCTGTTCAATGCAAGTTATTCCATTGTAAAGTCTTCATATTCTTTATTCACCCTCCTGTATGGATCTGACATTTTATTTTTGTATAATCCCGCGTAAAGAAAAACATGTATGTTATCATGTGATTTAAGAAGTAACGCTCCCAACTCTCTTCTCAGTAAGAAACTGTGAAAGATGTAAAAGAGAATGGGAACCTTCGACAATAAGAGTTTACAAAATATTTCACATTTATCTGTCTTGTGGGAAATCTTGAGATTTGGGAAGATGCGGATTAAGAATTAGCATGGAAAAGTGGTCGTTTGTTCATATATTGGTGTTGTGGTTCTTCGTAAACAATGCTGCGAGCAAGCGAATATTTTCATTGTCGGGTTTCGCGTTGTATAGATTTTGTTGTTTCTTTGTGCCGATCAGATTTCCCTTGATGCTTAATATTTTTATTAGTAAACATTAGGTTTATATTTCTTTATATTTTACTTCATGATTTGTCAAAGCGCAATCATTAGTAATATTTAGCATTCCTTTCCAAAGAAGCAAATGTCGCTTCGCAATTGCTAAACACTTTTTTCAGATTTTTCAAAATAATTTTACACCATCGGGCGGGTGAACAATATATACCTTAGATTGACCAGGCATAGACAGATAATGTGAAAGTTGCTCCCAGATTTTTGTCCCATATTTTTATATTCAAGTCATGCCAACTGTTTGCTTAAAAGGATGATAATTTCTTGAAAAATCGCTTAATTTCATTGATATCTTCTTGCTTCATGCACGTGCTTCTTGAATTTATTAAGCCGTAATAATTTTATTTGAAAAATGTGCAGAACGATTGTTTTAGCTCGTTTTCCAAATAAATCAGAACTAGTCTGTTTCTAGCAAATCGACAATGATTCCTTCCATTGCAAAGCATTCGATAGTTTTAAAGTGTTGTTGGTAATTCCTGATATTTGGAAAGGCATTTTACTTTTATTGGGGGATTGGGGAATCAAAGGCTATTTACAGTTGGAATATACCTGCACGTTGATAGTGGTCTGGAAACGAAAGACCAATAAGTAATCAGAGACGGTGTGTCACACTGATCAGGAAATAAGGATATAGATGAGCAAGAATAAACAGAAGTACCGAAACGTAGCAACGCCAAATAATCACAAGCCCGATTCCACACTACAAACATAAACTAACTTCATGAAGGATTCGTATGAATTTTTGTGGAAAACTTCAAAAAACTTGGGCATAATATGCGTCGGCTAACCACTCATCAGGAGGACTTCTCTAAGAGAAAACCTGTTTTAGATAGGCCATGGCAAAGCTTGCATTCCTGTCGCTGGTACTTGTGCCTTTGCAGCCAATAAACCAAAATTTCTCGCTTTTGAGATCTCAAAATTGCAGTAAAAAGTCAAGAATTTCTCGCATTTTTGTTGGCAATGTTATCACGTCGGAACTGTCCCTGAGATGGCACTGACCGTTTTACTGGTCGATGGATACCAGCTGTTGAATGGGATCGTTGTGCAATACCATTACCTGAAGCAAAAAAAGCGGTTGAAAAAATTGGTAAATCGATGACGTGAACTTCGCATTGTGAGAATTTCTTCAGCTTCCTTTGATCTTCAGTCTTGTTAGACGATGCATGAATATAGAATATATAGAATAACATGCGCCATCTGCAGAAGATAAGTTGTTCACTTGCATTAAAAACATCAAAAACTGCATGTCAGGAAAATAAATACTGAAAATAAGAATATTCTAGAAAGCAGAGCCCGAAAATTAGACAGTTTACCTCCTTGTCCATTGCCTGTTGTTTCATCGTCCGGTGAACCCTTCCGATTCGATGGGAATTTTGCCGCATACTCAGCATTATATTCACTCATATTTGGAATCTCCGAATAAACCATAAAAAACTCACCCGTTTTTAACAGTTCACCCATTTTACCATATGATAAACTCAGTGAACCCTTGAAGATCGTCGTAAAACCATTCCTAAAAGTAAATAAAGAATCAAATCTCGCATACAAACCGCGCAAATCATTCCGTCGGTTTTAAAATACTTTTGAAATTGTTTGTTAATATATAATCAGAGTTAACGATCTTGGTGAAGTGTAATGAAATTTAAATTTCTATTTCCTACTTCTCTATATTATAAGAAAAAATATTCATAATGTATCCAGTTAATAAATCACAAAAAAAATCAAAAAAGTCTTTCTGCGTTTGAGAGTCTTGAAGCAAAAGTTTCTTTGGAGTAACAAGAGGGTGACCTTAATCGCCAAATGTCACCAGCGGAAATATTATCGCCAACATCGTTCCATACACCCATGAGAACAGAACCTGTTGGATCAGCAACGCGTATTGTTCGAACATCATGTCCTTGTGGCGTACGTCGTGACTGGCCTGAAATATGAGGAAACTGGAATTCACGGCGAATATTTTACTTAATTTTTTTTGATTCATTGTTACAATATCATATCAAAAGTAAAAAACCCAGAAACTTCGTTTTTCCTGTCAATTGGTTGAAACAACTCCGGTCCATCAATAGGGAAACTTAGAGTAATTTTGAGTTAAAAAGAAAGAAAATATTATGAGGTAAATATAATGAAGTGAAATCAGTTCGGCTGGAAGGAAAACATATCACAGACGACTTGAAATTAACTGAAATGGACATGAAATGGAACAAAATAAAACGAAGAAACTTGAGCTAAATCAGATGAACGATACTACCAAAATAGTTGTAGACTTAAAGTTAAATTTAATTACTTACCAATGTCAAGAACAATAAATGTTAGGTTGACATTTTTCATATTTGGCATTAGCTGTGAGATCGAATTAGGTCGAACTATGTCACTTGACATAACTGAAATTTGGAAGTTAATGATGGAATACTAACAACAAAAAGCAAAAATCGAATTAGATCGACACAACGGTAGAACAAATAAAACTGCACAAACAGTAAAAACATATACCATTTATACGTTAACCTAATAAAGGCAAAGGTCAACTAATTTTCATGAAAAGCAAACTACGGAATTATTGAGAGTGGAAGGAGAACATGAAAGTTTAAGAGGCAAAAAGACCGGTAGTATTTTCGAGACAGCAAGTTGTCAAGGATCAAAATGAAAAATTGGCAGAAAGTCACGGAAAAGAACTGAAAGCGAAAGAAAACAAAAGTTGCGAAAATATTACAGAAAGAAATTAATTGCAAGATTGAGAGAATGTTGCAAAATATCAACGGCCTACCACAGTAACACAGTCATAGGCAGAAATACATATAAAATACCCTCGAACTGTGCCAACAATCTGTTATTAGAAAAATTTCGGCCAGATTAGATGGAACATTATGTAAATTTTAGATCTCATTGCTTACAACCATTTTTATGTGAAAATATAAATACGTCAAATTATGTGAGAGGATTATGCAAAGCTGCATATATGTTACAGTTACACATCAACATGTAATTGAGTATTAAAGTCATACATTCTAGAACTAATCAAATTGACGTAACATAGCTTTAGAGCGTATTAGGTTATGCTTAGCTAAACATAACAATTAACTATGATCACATATTTATTGAAACAATATAAATTGTTTCATATATCATCATATGTGCAATTAATATCATATCTACCAATCATTAACAAATTGAAGAAAAGACGCATACATAACTTCTTTCATAACTGCTTAACTTTATGTTATAACTAAACTTCTTCCTATTGAACAGTTATTTATATTATAACTGAACTTCTCAGGTAATAGTTAAATTTATAATACAATTTATGAAAATGGTTATTTAATTTCGAAAATTTTTTGCAGAGCTTTAGAATAAATTTTACCATTTTAATTACAAATTTTATATAAACCTTGATTTATTAAAATGCAGATAAAAAATTTTTAGTTAATTACTAAAACAATTGCAATAAAATTTTCATTTCATTGGTCGAGCATTAAATAACGTTCTTTATTCTTTGCTGCATTAATTTAATTGTAGCGATTTTTTTACTTCATATGAATAATTTAAATATTTGTAAATCGATTATTCATTAACATTTTTTTCCCCAATATTTCACCTACGTATGATTTTCATACGCATATTCTGCTTACCTGTTCTTTTCATATCGCAATTGCTTACCTGTTCTTTTCATATCGCAATCGCTTACCTGCTCCTTTCATATCGCAATTGCTTACCTGTTCTTTTCATATCGCAAACTTGTGATTTCATTAATTTCTTTGACAAAAAAGAAAAAGAAATTCTTTTAAAAAAACAATTCTATAACAATTTTTCATATTTATATATGTTTCATATATGACAAACTTTTCTTTAATAACTGATTATATTAAAAGGAGGAAAGTATTAAGTTTCAATTCTTCTCATTTTTTATCTTTTATTATCATTATTTGTTGTCATTATCATTATCAGTATTAAGTTTCTTCTTTCTTTTCATTCTCTATCTTTTTGTTATCATTATTATCATTAATTTTTATTCCTATTGGAAAGTGTATATATGAGAGAGAGAGAGAGAGAGGGAAAGAGAGATGAATAAAAGAGTTTAATTGAAATGATTAAATTGCTAGTTTACTAATGGAAAGAATAGAAAATGTAATTGATATGGAGGAATGATACCTCTAAATTTTTATTGAAACTAAACAAAAAATTCTTTTTCATTGCTTAGTGAATCAAAAAAGTGATGAGAAATAATCAAAAATTGAAACGTGAAACTGTCCGAAAGATTTGGCAAAAATTTGTTTGTAAACAATTCGAAAGTTTTTTATTACAAAACAAAAAATTAATGATGAAAATTGTAAAAAATGAAACAATTATTTGTTGACAATTAAAAAATTTTTCGTTTTATTATTGTTGTATTAATTAGGAGGAAGACGACTGGCAGGAAAAGTAAAAAGCGATGATTAATTGTTTAGTTTATTTGTTGAACGATTTATACCTTTAATCATTATTTCCTTTTCTTTTTTTAGATATTATTATCAAATAGGTAAGTATTCTTTTTTTAATTAACTAGTTTTCAACCAAAATTTAACTAATAATTGCACTGCTCCTTTTATTAATAATTACAATTTCATCGCATAATTTATGAAAAATTGATGTTTTATTGTTACCATAATACAATAAGCATTTTACATGAAATACTTATTTTGCATATTAATAAAATTCATAAAATTTAATTTCTGAATTTCTCTTTTTCTTTGCCTAAAATAAACTTGACGCTTTCCTGTCTATATAAGAATCTGTTATAATAATAAAGGTAAAAAGTTGAAAAGGTAAGAAGCTTACGACAAAATTGTAATCTGTTAATTTTAAGGCAAAAATAAACTTTTATCGATGGAACTTTCGTTCATTTCTTTTCGTTGGTTAATAGAAATGGCAGATGGTCAAAAGATTTAAAATGATCATAAAAAAACAATGAAAAAAATTACGACAATGAAGTAGTAAATTGAACAGCTGGCTGGCTATATTCAGACATATGAGAAAACTTCAGACTAATTTAAAGAAAAAGAAAACTGCCTTTTATCAAACAAAAATGAGCGAAATAAATTCATATCCAAGTAGCGGTGAGTGCAAAGTATTATTGTATAGTTTTAAAATGTGAAAAATAAATTAATTTGAAAAAAAGAAAACAAAAACAAAATATCGAGCATTTTATCGCTTCTAATTTATCTTTCGTCCAAACAATTCTTTTGTTTTTCTTTTTTGTTTATTCTATGATAACTTTATTTTCAATGATAATAGCAATGATAAATGAATGGATTAGAATATGACTATCGATTTATGTTAAAATATAAAAGAGTGAAGAAATAAAAGAAAGGAAATGATAATGTGTAGAGGATTAACAATTAAATTCGCTATAAATTTTAATTGATAATAGAATAGTACTAGTGAATTTTAAACGGAATAATGAATGATCAAAGTATCCGATAGCCAAAAAGTTTGGTAATTTATTTTTGGTATATCCCATCAATTAATATCATTTGTCTAAAAAAAAGCGAAATGATAAATGATAAAATCTTTTGTGATCATTTGTACGTATAACCTGTGATTAATTCAACTAATTTATCATTTATCGATTACTTTTTAGGTAGATAGCAATATTTTGTTGCAGAAAAGTCTCATATGATATTTTTCCGTGGTTTTACTCTTATTCATCGATATATTCATATTATTCTGTTATTTCTACTCTTTCTAACATTTCTTTTATGGATACGAAAAGGTAAAGAATAAAAGGAAACTTTTTATAATTCATTTCAATATAAAATATATGAAAGATAATTAAAATATTAGCAAATAAGACAAAGAAAATACAAAAAGAAAAATTCACTTAAATTTCTATTTTGTATTTTAATAATAATAATTATTCACAAATTATGCAAGAAATTTTTGCATGGAAGATATTTTGGCCATAATTTGTTATTTATTTGTATTTATTAATTAATGGATAATTTACGGATATGAATATAACTGACTTTAAGAGTAAAAGATTCAAAACTTATTATAATTTTAAATTAGACTGATAATTCTCAATCTTATTATATACAATCAGGTTAAGATTAAAAGCTGTCTATCTTCTAGAAATTCCATAGAAAAGGAAGAGAATGATAGTTTTAGCTTACATATATGTATAATATATAAATATATAATAACTATTTTAAGTATGAGTTGCAAAAATTAATATTAAAAAAGATCTCTAAAATATATGAATTAATTAATATATTAATTTTGAAAGAAAAAAAGGGAAAAAATTTAGGATCAGAAATAGAAGAGATTAAAATAGCAGTAGTAACAATATTGAAAGATCTCAGTAATATTAACGAATATCAATTAGCAATGAGAACATTCGAGTGTTACTGTATTTATCAACGATATGAATGGATAGTAATCGATGTATCACAGAATGATACGTTGAAATTACTTTGCCCGCAAAAAGAGGTTAATCTTAATAAATTTCAACTAACTGCCACAATATTATACATTATTCCATAATTGCGAAAATTTAATTCCGATATGTTAACTAATTGAAATTTAGGTTTATTTTTTTTGTTATTTCTTAAATATAATTTATAAATTTGTATGAATGAATTTAATTTTATGTTATAATTTTTACGATACATTTATTCATTTTTGTTTTATTGTTTTTATATTTCCATGAATTAATTTTAAACAAATTTTACAGTTTTTCTTTCAACGACATTGTGTAGTAGCACAATGTTTGCAAGAAAATAATTTCGATTATGTATTATTTATCGATTCTGATATGGGTGTTATTAATCCAAAAAGACGAATTGAAGAATATATTATGAATGGGAAGGATATTATCTTTTACAATCGTATTTGGAATTTTGAAGTAATGGCTGGAAGTTATTTAGTTAAGTAAGTTTGAAATTTTTACTTATTTTATCACGAAATAATCATTTTCGTATAAATTTTTAATTTTTTTCTGCATATCTTTTAGTGTTTAAATTTAAAATCGTTTACATTTTAATAATTTTAAATTATTAGAAAATAATATTTCATTATACTACAGAATTAAATAGAATTACAGTATTTAAAATTTACCATTTGTTATAGGATAACTATTAAAAAAATTTCAGATTATCATTGATAAAAGCTGCGTCTATAATTTTTTTTAAATTAATAGTTTTAATTATGGTAAAATATAGTTAAATTTATGAAGATATGATGAAGCTTATTGTAAAACATATTTATTATTGAAGAAATAATTTCGAACATGTGTAAATTTGTAGTAGTAATTAAATGCTAAAGATGATGTAGTATTTCTAGGAATACGAAATTTGTCATTAATTTCTTACGAATATGGGCAAACTATAATTATCGTTTACCGAATTCATTTCATGGATCTGATAATGCTGCTGTTCATGTTTGTTTATTTATTTGTGGAATAAATTTTCAAATACAAAATTTTTTTTTGCTTTTTGAAAAATTAATAAGGAAGCATTTTCTCTTCCGGAAAAATTTTATTTGGTAAGGTAGGTTTTTCCCGAGAAAGTTCTATTTAGTAAGAAAGCGTCTTCTTCCGGAAAAGTTCTATTTGGTCTTTTCCGGAAAAGTTCTATTTGCAAAAAAATAGTTCCCCAAAGAAAAGAAAGAGAAGAATAGTGAAAGTTTATTTTAAAAAAAAATTTTTTTCATAAATCAGAAATAATCGATTCTGATCTCAAAATCATTTTATCCTTTCAACAAAAGAAAAACAAATTCGGATAGACAGTTTACCTTTCAACACTCTTTCTCCTATTTAACTACAAAATGCAAAGGTCAACTTCTACAAATGTGAAAATATTTTTATCTCTTAAATTTAAATAATATCAAATTTCATTATGATGGATTCGTTAATTATTACATTGTGTAATTCATATCTGACTCATATAACTATTTTAAAGGATAATCATTTTCATGCAACACACATTGTTATTATTGTTATTTTCCGTTGAATAAACTTAACAAGTATTGATAAGTTTATTTCAGGCGGTTTTGTTACACGTCGCATCAATAGATGTGAAATACTGCGAACCATTATGGAATATATCAAATTAAGTTGTTGTTTATATAAATGTGTCGCTTTTTCCTTGAATCATTTCTTAATTGATTAATTTATTTATCATACTGAGTTAATAGTTAGAAGGTTTTGTTGCTACCAGGACGAAAATAGAGTTCAAATTAGTTAAAAACTTATTAAATTTTAATTTTTATTTAGTAAGAATAATTTGATTGAAGTGATATCTAAATCTGAGATAAAAAATATTACTGATAAAAGTTATTTCTTTATCACAATCAACTTTTCTCATCATCAATACTTAATACACTAGCAATTTAATTTTATGATAATAAAATTCGTTTTTTTATATTAGGTAAAAATTTTATTTTCATTCTTTTTTTACGATGAAAAGTTCCAAGGGATAATTTCTTAGTTAAACTTAATTAATGTATCAATTAAAATAAAATAGCTTCAAAGATCTCAAATTATGCTGACAAATGCATGAGAAATGATTTTGTGATATTTTCGTTATTGATTTATAAAAAGACTTGTGGTTCTTAATGAAATAAAGAGCTTATAAACTAGAAATTGAAGCAATGCGTGAAATTTTGAAATTTGAAGTGACACGTTTTTTCTTTTGTTCTTTGAAGTAATATGTAAAAGTAAAACGTGGAATAATGATGTTATTTCAGAAGCTACAAAGATTTATTCACATATGAGGCTTGCGTTCGAGCACAACTTGAAACTAACGAAAAATGGAAAAATAAAATAAGTGTGCTACCGAAAGGTCAATCTTGGGCACGTGATGGTTGGCTCACAAATTCGAAATGGTCCGAACAAGATTTTATCTTTCATGGATGGCAAAAACGGTCAGCTTTAAAACATTAAAAAAATTCATGTGCAATTTTTAATACCATAAATGCACCAAAATTAGATTATCATATCAAAATTTTGTTTATAATTACACGCTATTAGAAAAAATTATAATTTTAAATTACGATTGCACAGAAAATCACTATAAAAATTAAAAAAACTAAAATTATAATGAAAAAAATTGTGATTATTGATGATGATTGTAATAATTATAATGGAAAAAAAAAACTTCAAGCCTAAATTTAACAATGAACTTATTAATCTTTAAATTTACAGGCGCTTGAATAGACGAATATTCGCATCATGGAAATTACCATTTTTATCGACAAAATTTAATATGTCATTATGTGGTACCAGTAATTACATAGCGAACTGGAAATACAATCAAAGCTTTCTGAAAGATGCAAATGAAATTCGTATTCAATTGAATACGATAATTGTTTTAAAAAGTATTGAATATTATAAGGAGAAACGGAAAGCGGAAAAAATATTGGCTAATTTGATGAAAAATGAGTCACTATGGCATAATTCATTAATTAATTCATCGTTGTTGATAATGCCAATAAATAGAACAAATCAAAAGTTAAATTCGAATTTTAGTAAAATTTAATAATTATTAAATGTTATTAAATGAAAGAATAACTCGATGCTTCCTACTACTATTTCTTGTTTGATATATGTTGAACATACAATAATTCTGGGAAGTCATCATCATTATATACAAATAACTTTGATAACATTGTTTAGAGGCTGGATTATTTACGGTTGTTATCACTTTTCACCTCCTTATCGCAACAAATTTATCAGTAATATTTATCTCATCGCTATATTATAAATTTGCAGCCATTTTCATCTCGTTATTATGATTGAAAGCTTATTGTTATTGTTTTCTATTCCTTTATAATCAATATAGCAATGTCTTCTTGCCATATTTGCAAGTTTGTTGGTAATTCTTCCTGTTGTTATCGTATGTTTATTAACAATTTTTATCTCCTTATAATTATTATCAGTAACTTTTATCTTTTTATTAATATCACAAATTGACATATGTTGCCACTTCAACTAAATAAAACTTCTTTATTTACCGTTAACGCTTGAAGTTATAACTTTTTATTCAATCTCTTCACTTGAAAGATTCCCAAAATTATTTTCATTTGCCAAATTAAAACTGATTCTTACTACTAATCCAAAAAAATTATTTTTTCAAACTTTCTTTATTATATTGCCTACATTTTTTATAATTTACTAATTAAGTCAATTAAGAAAATTATGTCTTGTTTTTTCTTTTTGTTATAATTTCTTTAAATTTAATAATGCACGTTTTCATAACTTTTAATTGTATATTTTTCAATAATTAGAGCAAATAAACTTAAAAGTTCATTTGTCCTAATTATGAATTCCAATAAATTTATTCCTAAAAAAATTTTTTCATTTTAGTGAACTTAAGCGAGCTATTTTTTCAAACTTTTTTTCCTGAATTTTAAAATTATTTCCTTTGGAAATTTTATTTTCGAACAACAATAATGACAGCATTATTTGGTACATGCATGTTCCATCACTGCATGCAATATATTCGAAATCCAATTATCGACCTGAAATAATACTTGCTGCCAAATTATTTCATCTTATTCGAGTGAATGATCAAATTCTTGTAATAAGATAAAACAAAAAAGCAAAAGTATTATGCTAATCATCAGATACCATCAGGCATTGATACAAATCTCTGATGAGGTCTGGTAGTCTGATACAAGCCTGGTATGATTTCCTTTGAATAGTTTCCACGGCAACCAATAACTACTTATTTCATTTCATTCATTTCTATTCGAATTTCTCTGTCCTAAGTAAATTGGTAAATGACATCTCGGCCAACTACTGCTCGTCCAAAAACTTCCGCTGGTACACGAGCTACTTCAGCTAGGCTTCGTAAACCACCGTTATCATCTATACATGTTAACAACCAATATGGTAAGTTTGTTACTTTAATAAAAATTGCTATCAGTTGTTTTTTTAAGCAGTTTCTAGCATTTTTGGTAATATCAAAAAAATAAACTAATTGAAAAAAAAGTTTGCAAATTATTTTTTAGAAGTTACGGAACGGCCAATTAGTCGTGCGGCAATGGTATCGGAATCAGTCGCGCAAATTACAGCAACCCGAACGAGTACAATCCTTTTTTTCCTCTACTTTTACTTTTCAGTATTGGAATGAAAACGAAAGCTTTTAATTTTTTGAAAATTCGAAACTCCCATTGTTAATGATAATTTTTTTATAGCTATTGGAAGCTAAAAGAGAAGCACATTTAAAGTTATGAGTAAAAAGTAAAAATCGATCAATTAATCTTTAAGTATATGACATGTACTTTTTTAAAGTTATTATAAATTTGAGGTTGCATATTCAAATTATTCAGAAAAATGTAATATAATGATAACATCTGTATTGGAGATAGAAAATTAATCGGCAATGTTTGGCCAATAGTGTCAGTTTGAAAATTTTAAAATTTCATGAAAGTTATTGCAGTGAGTCGAATTGGATCTAATCCACAAACACGGATGAATTCAGCTTCGGTAGCTTTTTCTTATTTTTTCATCAAATTCTTTTAAGAAGTTGTAAATATAAGTTTAATTTTTTCTTAGAATTTCACATTGTGGATAAGTTCAAATTTTAGAGTAACGAAAGAGTTCGAAATCGAATAGGCATAGGTCAAAGTGCAAGATTAGTATCAGGTACTATTCAAACAGCACCACGCGGTACTGCAATGAGACCTGTAACACAACAAGGATTAACTGGTGTCAGGGCACCAACCAGAATTGGAGGTTAAATTTCTTCTTTCATAACTTTTATTTGAAACATTTGGTGCACAAATCTGTAGGAGGAATTGCTGGCAAAGAAAGAAAAGGGAAGGGATTTTTACTTTTTTGCCTTTTGTACTTCTCGTGGAATAAAATAGTAAAATATCATGAAAAATTGAAATGCTAAGGTAAATTTTGAAAATGTGAAAAATTTATTTTATAGCTGGACGTTTCATAGTCGATAAAAGCTATTACATGTCATTACTTCGAACACAAATGAACAATTTGATGAGCGAAACTGATAAACTACGTGGTGAATTGAATAAAGGTGAACGTGATCGACAGAATTTACTAATTTATGAAAAGAAGTAAATATTTATTTACCATTTTAAGAAAAAGTTAAAAATTAAATGTAATAGCAATAATAGTTTTTACTTAGGACAAAAAATTTCAAATTTAAAGCTGAACAATTATTTACTAATTAATATTATATTAAACATATGCAAAATGAAAATTTGAAAAATCAATCAATAATTCGTTTTTCAAAATATTGCATACAAAAAAATAAAAACTTTAAATCGGTTAATAATTTATCTTTAAGTATTATATTGATGTTTGGAAGAAAATTTCATAAATCTTAGATGCGAATATCATATCACAAAAAGTGCGATATAATCTCTGTGATAACTTCTTGATGCTACACTTGCTAAAAGTACCACGCAGATGCTATCACATAGATCGTAATTTTTATTTATATCATATTATTTTCAGGGCAGAAGAAGAAGCGAATATAATAAGAACATTGCAAGGACGTTTGTTGGATTGTAATAAGGTTTGAAATAAAGTCTCTGAAATCTGAGAAAAACTGATATGATAGACGATAAATAATAGAAGTTTGAAATTCGATTCTTGTTAAAACAAATTGCTATAAATCTTCGTGTGCTTTCATGTTTTATCTGAATAGCTCAAATAAAGGAAATATTGATGGAAGAGAGTTTGATAATCAAATGTAAAGAATGATTGGAAATAGACCGTTGATTGAATTTTTATCTTTTGACAGTTTTAATGATATCTTTGCCAGTGATAAAAAAGGAACAAATCAATATTATTGCTTTTTTTCCCCTTTTCTTTTCCTTTTTTTCTTCTCTTGAAATTCTTAATTATAATTTTATTATTGAAACTTGAAATGATACTTGCAGGTAGTAGATTTGATCAATACAAATTCGGAATTACATGAAGTTGAAGATGAATTAGCGGAATTATATGAACATCGTAGTGATGCAGAAAGAAGCTTAGCGGAGTTAGTTGAAGATCGACATATGAAAGATGAAGATATATGCAAGGTTGAAAATGAAATCGAAGAACAGAAAGCTCGAAATAATGCTAAATTTCATTCGATGGTATTTGAAATATTTATCAAATTTAAGTAAATTTTTTTAAATAATTAATCTCATAAATTGATTTAAAATTTTTGTATTTCAGTTAACAATTTTCAATGAAAGATTCAAATTTGATTTATCAACATTTAGAATCCAACAATTTATGATGCATATGAGAAGCTAAAGATGGAAAATGAAAAATTATTAGAAGAATATCGGATCAAACAGGAAATACTAAACGAATTGAATGAAAAGAAGAAAGAATTTGATGAACATTTGGCGAAATTTCCCCTCAAACAGCAAGCCAGTATATTTTGATGAAAGATTGATAATTATGAATATTAAAATAGGATTGATTTATAAAAACAGAATTTTCATTTATAGCAATTAATTCTAAATTTGTTTTTAATCATTAAAAATTCTATAATTATTCAAATACAAATATTATATTGTTGAATGAATGAACTATGTACTTTTTAAATTAATTCTTTAACTATTAAATTTATTTTGAAACTTTAACGAAATTTTAACAGTGCATTAAAAATTTATTTCATGATAGCAATCATACAATTAATGATACATAATATTATTGTATTAATAAGTAAATATGAAGTAAATTTTTGAAATTACAAAACAAAGAATTGAAATAATTTTTTGTTTTATCAATTACATAGATATATTTTTTCCCTCATTTATAGCCGTATTTTATGAACGTTTGGCAGAATTAGAAGAGAAAAAGAATAATATAATTAATGAAATAAATGCGGAAGGTACACCAAATGAACAAAGGGAACATTTACTACAAGCTGTTATTCGTACAACTGATGAAATTAATGTAATGCAAAAACAGTAAGTAATATATTTACTTATAGGAAAAAATATTTTTCATTACTTCTTTTCAATACTTTTAGCATTTGACTTCATAAGTTATTAAATTACACTTAATAGAGGATTTCTACCCATATATTTAATATGTTAATTGAATTATGTAAAATCGTACTAATAGGAAAAAGAATTTAGCTATTGACATATATAATTGAATTATATAAAAATAATCATTCATTGTTTCAATTTATAGATTGGATGATGTAAATGAGCAAATTGAGCAATTATCAGAAGAATTACGAGAATTTGATATTGAAATGGAGAATGTCGCAGGTAAGTTGTCAATTGCTATTAGATAGCTTTACTTCAATTCATTTCTTATCATTATTATTTTATCACACTTCTTTGTTGTTATCACATTTAATGATTTAATTATGGAATTGAAATCTTTTGCGTAAGATAAAATTACTATGATATAATTAGGTATCGATTATTACGATAATTCATATCATTGTTTGATACAGCAATTCTGTTAACTGAAACCAATATAAGTTTCTGCACTTAAATTTATGCAAGAATTTAGTTTCAAATAATAAAAAATATTGTAAAATGATAATTTTTTACAGGCAAAAAGAACGAGAAATATCGGGAGCTTAAACTAAAAGAAATGCAAATAGATGAATTTTTGAATTCGTACGACAGTTTGAAAACGAACGAAGAATCACAAATTGATCAGATATCTGCTGAAGTGGTCCGTATATTAGAATTACTTTCAACAAATATTACAAACTTGTATTTAATTTCCCAAAACACTAACCCAGATTTTACTGAATTGAAGAACGATGAAAATATTCCTGCATCAGCATTAAAAGAATGTAAGTTGAATTATTGAATTTACTCGGAAATTTTTAGAATTTAACATTCCAAAATTTAAGAATACTGAAGAAATTTAAAATCTGAAAATGAAAGCACCAGCTAATTTGTCATTTTTCCTTTCTTAAAACCTGTAATGATACTAATATAATTAACAAATCGATCCAAATTTGTAGTATATGTTAGTTTGCAAGAAGAATTATTTGGAATGGATAAGTTGGAAAAACATCTTAAAACGGACAACAATCAAATTAATGAAAGAATAAAAGAAATGGATGAAAAGATGGAAAATTTTGAAAATATCGAAGATTTGAAAATTCGTAAAAAGCAAAAGCATCAAGTAAGATTAATAAATTTATCAAAAGAGCATATGGAATTTTCGTTGATATGACTGATTATATTGCATTATATCATTAGTGACACCATTATACCGGTATTTCCTTTTTCAGGAATTAGAAAGTCGACGTGAAATTTTAACCGAAGAATTATCGAAAGCTAACAATTTATATCAGAAGTTGATGGATGAATTAGAACAAACAAAATATAAACTCGAAAAGAAAGATGAATATATCAAAGTGAGGAAATATTTGTTAATTTTGAAGTTCTTGAAAAAAGGATAATAAAACAGAAAATCAACATTATGAATTTTATTTTAAAAGCGTTCTAAAAGATTTAATTCGCAGGTTAATAAATATGGAGCACACATCCGTTTTTTGATTAGTTCTGATAACATTTTAAGATTTAACATTTATGTTAGCATTATTAACACATAATTTGGCCATATTTTTGAGTGAATGATAAGGCAAAATCTGTATTGTATGAAATTTCGTAAATTTGCATAAATGAACCAAAAAAAGTTTTCAGTTGAAAAATGTAGAAAAGAAATGGCAATCTGTGGAAAAAACTTTAAATGCTTTACGTGAAGCAGCAGCGCAGCGAGAAATGGAAACAAATTATAAAGTTTTTAAGGAGGAGGTAAAAAAATATCGTAAAACTATTTTGTTATAAATGTTACTTATGTGAATTATGCTAAACGCATGTAAGTATATGAAAGTACGTATATGAATATGCAAACTAAAAGTTTAAAATGAACCAGAAAGTAAATAATCATTATAATAGAGACCGGATGACGCAATGTCAAATAATATCCATTTCAACTACGCAATCATCCCATAAATAAATTTACAGTTTGGCAGTTCTAAATTATCTATCACAATCAGTGTTTATCACATAGTTATGAAAAAAAAACCCTGAAGACGATGGTCATATTTTCTAGGAAATTTTAAAAAATTAAAGAACTCATTACTGATATGCATTTATCATAGTGATATGATAAGATATATTTTGGTTTCAACTTCTTGTCGAATATTATTGGACAAAAAATAAATATTTTAATAGTGAATTATCTACGCATTTACAATTTCCCATTTTCTATTCCAACTTTTGAATGATTTCATAATTAAATGAAATCCTTATAATGAATTTAAAACTTTAATTGAAAACTAATTTATCGAAATTAATCTGGAAAATGTAAACAAAATTAAAAAATATCGAACATATCAAACTACACAGTTATTTTTCGCCAGTACTTTCATCATTCATTGTATTATTAAAAAAGCTGAAATTGAGAAGTGATAAGTTCAAAAGAAGTTTTATATGAATTTCAATTTAAAATTTTATTTTGATCTCAAAATACTTCATATTTTCAGGCATTACAGCTTAAAGCAGAATACAATGAAACACTGATCGCATCTATGAGACTTTGATGAAAACAATTTTGATATCCTTCTATTTATCATTATTAGTATCATATTGATATCATATCATTTAGCTTGTTGAAAACTAAATTAAATTTTTCAAGGAAAGGATTCTTTTTCCGAGTACTTTTTTAAAAGAGTGTTTTTCGATTTTATGATATTACACTTTTGCATTTGATCTCTTTAAGAGAGTGTAAGCTTATGTTATAAATGGCATAGAATTCAGTTAGTTGAAACAAATACCGTTGTGACAGGTAAAACTTATCAAAAAAAAACTATGCTTTTGATATGTTTGTGCAACGTTTTCGACACATTCCTGCAATGTTTTCGATAAGAATTTGTATCATTTCGTTTTTCTTCTGAGTCTAATTTTTTTGTTTAGTAATTAATAATTGTTTAGTTAATTATCAAATAAGCATTGATTCCTTTTCGAACTATCGAATTATTTTTGGAAACTAAATGATTCATTTTTCTCATTTAAATAGCTTTTTTATATACAATTTTTTTTCAAACTGTTTTGGCAAAATTTAGAATTATGCTTTTTTCCCTATTTTATGAGAAAATGAAACTGATTGAATATCGATTTTATGATATTACACTTTTGCATTTGATCTCTTTACTTCTTCTGATCCACCCATCTGGCAGCCGAGAAATTATTACAGAATTATTAAAGTTTTAATTAAATTATTTTATATAGAATTTTGAAATTTCAAATGGCGGAAAAAGTAATAAAATAAAACTCATTAACCGAAATTCATTGAATTCTTTAATAATTTAAGTAATTTCTCAAATGAATGAATCAAAAGCAAAAGATTTTTGAACAAATCAAAAACATTTTTTCAATGAAATAATAACCAAAAAGTTAAGAATAAATTTTAAAGTAAATTCAAATGGATTTTCTTTCACACATTTATTTTCAATCTTTGAAATTATAACTTTTTCCCTCTTTTCTTTTCATAATGTTTTACATTCTTTGCAAAGATTCGTACATTTTCAACTCATGAAAAATACTTCACAAAAGAAGAAATTAGTACAAAATGTAATATGTTGAATGCATGTCTATTTACAGAAAGCAACTTTATGCTACCTGTTTGCAACTTCAAATGAAATAGGAAGCAGCTATCTGTAATAAGATGCTTGCCAATGTGATTCGCACTCTGTGATCAGTTTGGATTTGCTCAGGTCTATTCAAAAGTGACCGCAAACTTTAGGATTATGACAAAGTTTAGAAATTAATTCAATACACTTTTAAAGGAAAGAAAGAAGTTGAAGAAAACAGAGGTGCAAATAATCTCTCCGATAGAAGTCTCTAGTGTCAACCGAACTATTTGATTCACTGATTTAATCGGTATTAGCGTTAAATAATTTTATGGAATAAAATTGAAAAGTTAAATATACCAAAGGATTTGGAATAATATAGAAAAGTTTAAAATCAGTTAATATATCCATTCGTATATATCACTAACGTGCTTACACATGTACACCGATCGGCAAAAAAATCGTAAGTTTTGTTTCCTATTGAATTTGGCATATTATAATAATGATTAACTTTCTATGTACTTCATTTAATTAAAAATAATTAGCTGATAACAGACAGCAGACCAACTGTTAATCATTCATTTTTATTAATATATCATTATTATTACTATTATTTTATTGTACTTTTATGATTATTATCGGCTACTTTTTAATTAATATCATATCATATTATCAGTTGCTTTTCATTTGATATCATCAAAATATGATTTTTTCTGCCTAATTTTTTGAAACTGAAATTTTTGTATATCAATCTAAAAGTAACAATCATTTTAATGTTTCGTTTTTAAAGGCAAACATCAAAATGTGTTATTTGACAGATAAAAGTATTGAAGAATGATTTTGAAAAGAAATAGGGTGAAAAGAGAGAGAGAGAGAGAAAGAGAAGGCAAAGATGAGGAGGGATATGTGTATTAAAAAGTAAAAGATGGGGAGGGGGAGGAGACCAAAAGCAAAATTTGTGGGTAATTAAAATGATGGGAAGTTTTAAAAAGTTTTACGTATTATCTGGTAGAGCAGACCAAGCAAGCAAATTAAAGTTATTTAACAGATTTCAAATGATCGGAAGATTATAATAATGCAATTTATTTTGAAATAAATTTTACATTTATCCAATGCAAATTTGTGTGAAATTCATACGTAATATCTATCGATGGGTCAATCATGGGATCATCATTGGTCAAGAGAAAATAGAAAATAGATAGTAGGGATCGTGACCTGTTTTGGACAAAATTACGATGAATGAATGAATAAATTGGTAATCATTACGGATCAGAAGAGTAGAGTTGGAAAAAGATAGAGCGGTAGAAGAAATCGATTGCATTAAATATGTATCAAACATCCTCGTCACACTTTTGGAATCTATTCATTTACCTCTGCATGTATTTTTTCTGAACTCTTTGAAATTTCAATTTTAGTGAATTGAACTTTTTGCAAAATTGAAGTTTCTTCACTAATGCACTGTGTACTATTTACTTGTGTGTGTGTGTGTGTGTGTGTGTGTGTGTGTGTGTGTGTGTGTGTAAGCAAGTTTTAACTCAATGATTTCAATTTAAATTAAATTTATGCAATTCAGTGAGTCTGAAAGTAGAATAATTTCACTTTTCATAACATTTTATGTTCATCATCAATTCTATCGAAATTTCAGTTTTCTAACAATTGGACTTATTTTTCTTAAAAAAAAAATTTATAACAAATAATCGATGAAATTTAATTCGATCATTAAAAATTTTTAAATTTAATTTTGCATTAATTTTAAGTTCTAAATGCTAAAATATTAACCGATTAATGTTATTAGTTTTTTGTAAATATATTTGTTAAAAATATTTCGTTGATTCATCATAATGTTTGAATAAGTGAATAATGCAATTTGTTTGTCATAACTATAATACATTTCGTAAAACATACCTAAATCATAAAAATTAAATTGTATTTGTTACCAATTGCAATACATATATATATATGTTTGTGTGTGTGTGTGTCATCAAAATATTTATAAAGCAAAAAAAGGAAAGGTATGCTATCATTTCGTATTACTTTTGTTTTCTTTTAACTAAAGAATGTTTGCATTAACAATAGTATGAAAGTGATTAATCAAATATTTAAGAAATTTCCTTCAAATCTTTTTTTATTTATCCTAAAAAAGGAATTTTGGAAATGTTTCTTCTTCTTGCATTTGCTCTTCAGATTCATATATGTGATAATTTTAATTTGTAATTCAAACAATAGTGAATTAATTATTATCATTTTCGAAATTTTATTTATCATTCAAATAATAAATAAATGAATTTTTTTTTATCAAAACTTATTTATTCCAAATTATCCGTCCATTTCATCTTTTAATATATATTATTTCTATTTTGTGAAATTATTTTAAAATTTCTTAATGAAAAGAAATAATTTCCATTTAAATAATAATTTATTCTAATTATTAATTTTATTTACCAAATCATAAACTCTTTCTTAACAAATTGTTTTTTCTATTTTCTCATCACAAAAACAATTGTTGAAATTTTTTTCAATAAAAAAAGTGATCGGATATGAAAAAAAGGGGTAAAAGAATAATTTTAAAATTGCATATGTGGCCATTTAAATTTTTGAAAATATATTGTCATTAATGACCTAAAAATTCTTCATTGATTAATACAACAAAGAAATTTGGATACAATGTGTCTTCTAATTGTACTAAGATATGAATTCATATCTATTAGGAATATATATTACACATTAGCTCTTCCCTGAATTATCTGCGATCGATTTCAGTTCATCATTTACCTACGATCTGCAATGAGTTCTATTATCCAGCTCATATCAAAAATTATATCGAAAATTATTTTATCAAATTTTTGAAAACATATAAACAAATATTGAACTACTTAAAAACAAAAAATAATTTACTTAAAATAAATATGTAAGTAATCGAATAAAGTTTGTTCAGATAGATGTTTTGACATATTTAATGTAACGATTAGAAATTATATGCCAAAGATCAATCTGATTATTTGTTTTGACAGTTTCATAAAAGCAGACAAATTATAAAATTTCTGAAAAAAGAAATGCAAGAAGATTCGATCATTTTTCTTCTTACATCAAATATTTCGTTAACAAATAATCTTTCGATTTCTTTTTTAGAAGAACAGATACTTCGAAAGGATTCTGAAGGCAAAAGGAAAAATAACTGGCAGAAGTTTGACAATATCGTTTTTGCTTCATTGTTTAAAATTCGTTTGAATTATAAACTATTTGACGATTTGGAAATGAATATAAGTTTTTTTCTCAATTTCAATTACTAATTTGTTTATTTATTTGATTAAAAAATTGATTCATTCGAATGCAAACAAGAAAATAAGGATTATTAACATCTATTATCATTATTCGTTGTATTTATTTCAGTTTTTATGTTATGTTATCATTTTTTAACATCATTCTTTCCCCGATAACATCTTGAATATAACAAATTTTCAATCGATTTTTATTTTAAAATATGAAAATTTTAGTCGAGATTTTCAAGTTTAATGTTTTGCAAACATTTTTGGTTGCATTATTTACAACAAACTTTTTTTTCAATTTTAAACGCTGAAGTTTTGGATGATGCAATAACAAGTAATGATGAAGGCTTACGATAGAAATATGTTTAATATTGCTTCAAACGTTCAACCTGATTGATTAGCTAGTTCAAATTAAAATATAAATTCCAATTTCAATTTCTAACTTCAATTTTCATAACAGATTATAATGCTTAGGTAAATATTTTTCTCTATAAATACTTTTTTTTTAATAGTTATTTCTATTATTTAATTGATTACGCCTGATGAAACGTAGATAATTTATCAAATGAGTTGGATTTTCCCAAAGATCAGCACCTGCGGCTACTCGATTTTCTAACTTTATTCAATTTCCGATAACGGTACTTAATTTTATATCGGAAGAGCATCTGATTGTATTTTAAACAAAACCATAATGATTCATATTTA